AGCTCACTTCTCCACCCTCATCTCGCTGTGGACTTCCAAGGCTGCTTCTCAAAGCACTCATTCACGCCTGCGCTCCGTCCCCACATTTGGACAGGCTCCCGGAGACACCTCGCCCACAGCGCCTGCAGGCTCACGACGCTTGCGCCACCTGCCCTAATCCTCTTCGGGGAGGCGGGAGGTTGGCCTTGCCCCGTTCCATTGCCGGGGTGTCTCCCCAGCTAGCATTGCCTGGCACCAAGTGGAAGGCAGGTGGAAAGGAAGCACCTCCTTGCTCCTTCCTTGTCTTCCCCGATTCTAGGCTTTCACAGAGACGCAGAAGAAACGGCTGCTGTCCTGGAAGCAGCAAGTGCTGAAGCTCCTGCGAACGTTCCCACGCAAGGCCGCACTGGACATGCAGAACTACCGGCAGCAGAAGGGGTAGGGGTCGGGGTTGGCCAAGTCCCCCTCCACCAGCCCTTGCGCCTGCCAGCTGATTGCTTAAAGAGATGATGGCATTTGGGGCTGGGAGCCCTTTTGTGGTACTCGAGCAGTGACTACCATCTTAGGAACAAGGCAGGGTCAGGGATCAGGATGGAGGGGGGCTCCTGAGTTCCATCCCAGCACCTACAGAGACACTGTCTCCCCACCTTTCATGGGGAGCTTTTGAACGCCTTCTTGCACCAGACTAGTCGCTGTCTCCCCCCAAAGGCTGCTTTGAGTGGACACAGTCCGGCCCCCACCCCCACAACACCTCTCTTCCATCCTCCTGTGGGGTGGTGAGGAAGGGGGGCACACATGGGCCCGTGCACCTAAGCTAACCCCCCTGCTTTCTGCTCTCTCCAGCTGGGCGTTCGGCTCCAACTCTCTCCCCATAGCTGGCTCTGTGGGGATGGGGGTGGCCCGGCGCACCCAGCGGCAGTTCCCCATGCCTCCTCGCGCCCTCCCGCCTGGCAGGATGGGCCTTCTGAGCCCCTCGGGCATAGGGGGCGTCTCCCCTCGACATGCCCTCACCAGCCCCAGCCTCGGGGGCCAGGGCCGACAGGTGAGCCACATGGAGGCAGGCACTCATGGCACTCCGTGGTGGGGGTGCTGTGTGTCTGCCCTTGTGCTTGTGTTCAGCTCCAGTACCTCTGGGCCTCTTCCCCACTCATCCCTTCTCTCTTCCCACGGACCCTGCAGAACCTGTGGTTTGCCAACCCTGGAGGCAGCAACAGCATGCCCAGCCAGAGCCGAAGCTCTGTGCAGCGCACCCACTCACTCCCGGTCCACTCATCACCCCAGGCCATCCTCATGTTCCCTCCAGGTAAGGCTCCCACCCCAGGCGCCGCTGCTCAGCTCCCACCCCCTGCATCATGGGAGTGTGTTCTTTACCCTTTCTTTCTAAGCTACCTACCTTCTCTCAGTCCCTCACCCCCTGTGCCCCGCCCCCCATTCCCTATGCAGTGTTGTGTGTCCACAGTGGCCACTGTCACTGTCGTTGTCTAGGATCATTCAGTTTGGAAGGGCTTGAGGAGTTAGAGGTCAGAGCCAGAGATTGCTGAGAGGGGAGTCCTGCCTGCCTGTCTGCTGTCATGGGAGCCAGTGACTCTACCTCGCTCTCAGCTCAGTCCTGCTCTGGGGGCTGGAAATGGAAGGCTCTTTTGCCTCCACCCAAAGACTCAGCGGTCAGGGAAGTGCTGAATGGGCAAGGGGTAGATCAGAGACACGCCAGCCATGGGTCATGGGTCCCTGCTTCCCTGGAGGAGGGGGGCTTGTTGCCTCTTCCCCATCTGCGTATGGGTGGCCTGCCCTGGACCAATGGCCCTGGGCCGCCCCCTCCATGGGGATTCTGAATGTATGAGGTCTTCATGAGTTCTTCCTAATGAGGCATCATTCCAACACCCAAGGGAGCCACAGACGCTCTTCTCTCCCAGGTGTCGGTCCTCACACAAAGATGTTTCAGGAGAGATAGGTTCTACTGGGACCTGATCTCAGGACTCAATGGCTGGTGGGTGGTGAGAGGAGATTGGAGCCGGGTCTTCTAGGCCCAGCACCAAAGCAGCTCAGACCTGACAGCAGTGGGGAGCACTGAGGTAGTCGGGCCTGCCAGGTGCCCAAATAGGAAACAGGTCCTTGGGCGAAGCGGCGAGGACAGGCCTTGGGGTCGCTGAGCCTGCCTGGACCACATCCTGTCCTGAGCAGCAAGCGCAAGTGAGCATAGCAAGACTTTATCTTACCTGTTGGCCCATGCAGAGAGAAGAGGTCAGCATCGGGGAGCAGTGCTGCCTGGTGTCCCTGTCCTAAACAGCCACAGCCTGTGGGCCTCCAGGATAGCTCCTTCCGCTTCCTGTTCTCCACCTATAACTCTGGCCACTACTGCCCCACTTGCCTCGTGATATCTGTCCCCAGCCCGTCTCTGTCCTTGGTCCTCCTTCACCGTCCTGTTCTCTCTCCCAGACTGCCCGGTCCCTGGGCCTGACCTGGAGATCAATCCCACCCTGGAGTCTCTGTGTCTGAGCATGACAGAACACGCCTTGGGTGGTGAGCATTTCCTCTTTCCCTGACCCAGCACCCACCCCTCCCACCCATGCCTCCACCTCTGAACCAAGCAACTTGAGGTTCTGAGGGGCTCAAGGGGAGGCCAGACTCCAGGGAGGGCCGCTGGGGTGACAGGTGACATGAGTGCCTTCCTCAGGCCTCCCGCCAGCTCCTGATCTGCCTCCCTTCCTCCCTTTCTCACCACAGATGGGACAGACAAAACCTCCACCATCTGACAGGACCCTCAGCCCAGCGCACCCATGGGCTCCCTGGGCGGCGGGCGGGGACAACCCCCAGCCGCCTCCTGGGCAGCAAGAGGGTGGGCTGGCTCAGCTACTCGTTCTAATATTTTTCTACTCTCACCCTCTTAACTTTTGTTTAACATTGGCACACTCCTTGCTCACTCCCAGGCCCGTTGAGAGAGACTGCTGAGGCCGGGGGGTTGGGGGGGCACCGAGTGGGTGGCCAGGATAGAAGGGGCAAGGACCAGCCAGACTGCCTGTCCCTCCCCTCCCCTCTCCTTTCCTCCCTACTGCATTCCACCTGGCCCAACCCCACCCCTGCCTCCTCCAGACTGCTGAGCACTGCCCCTGCAGTAGGGCAGACTCCCTGATGATAGACTGACTGCCACCTTGTGGATCTGCTCTGAACCTCACCATGGGGGAGGGCGAGCCAGCCAGGAAGTCACTGGAGGAGCTGGGGAGAAAAGGAGGGCGAGGAGTGGAGCCTCTCTCTCCTCCCCAATGCCTTCCCCTCCAACATTCCCCCAGGACAGGAGCCGCCTTCTCACCTCTCACCGTGTTTGTCAGAGGTTCTCTACAATTAATTTCTTAGGCCTATTTAAGATGCATATTTATATAGTTCTTAATGGTTTTTCTCTCTGATCATTCCCTATCATTTTTAGAATCCCCAGGCCTCTCTCTGAGCCAAGACAGTGGCAGGGGGAGCCTGAACTTTATAAGAGGAGAGGGCAGCGCCCCCTCCTCCAGACCCCCTCGCCCTCCTTACTCCCCAGCCCTGGCTCCCAGATGCGGAGGATGAAGGTGGGCAGCCAGGCAGCGGGGAGGCTGGAAGTCTGTTGCCTTAATGTCCCCTTCCCCCACCAACACACTGTCTCCGCTCCTGGGTCTGGTGGCAAAGGACTTGGAGGTCAGGAATACAGGAAAGGGGATTGTTCTTCTGTTTGTTTTTCTCCCTGTCCCCCTCTCTTTCAGCCTCGCCCCTCCCCCATTGTCATGACCTCATGTAAGCGGAACACTATATCCAAACCCAGAGGTGCGTCCCAGCTTGAGTCACACAGCCCCTCTGGTCCCAGTTCCTGATGAGGGCTTGTGCTGGGGCCCAGGTGGAGGGAGGGGAGTTGGGGGTTCAGACAGTGGGGAAGCCAAGTCCCCCTATTTTAACCTCCTCTCCCCTCTCAACCCACCCCCACTCACTGGGACATTCTCAAGCTTTTCACATCGAAAAGGAAAAAAAAAATGTTATTTTTAGATACATTTTATGAATAACTTTTGTTATGAATATGGCTGGTAACCATTGTGTATGTTATTAAAGATACAAAATGTTGGGGAAAAAAAAACCAAAAAAAAAAAAAAAAAAAAAGAACCAACAAAAAACCCCCTTGAAAACCACCACCCTCCCTGCACTATCAGCCCGTCCCCAGCCCGCCCTGCCCCAGCCTCCTGCTCTGTGGACCTCCTGTCCACCGAGCCTAGGGAGGGGGAAGAAGCCAGGGGGCTAGGGTGGCCCTGGGGACCCACCTCTGTTCCCCACCTCCTCTCCCAGTGCCGGGCTGGGCGGGGTGTCAGGTGTATTTATGTACCTCTTGCACACTCATCAACCTATGCAAGTTCCCGCCCCGGCCCTCCAGGTTGCTGTGCCTTGGCCCATTCCCCTCACCTGGCTTCTCCAGCCCCTCCCTCTAGCCAGGGATGGGGGCAGTAGGCCTCTGGTTCGGAGTCAGCTGGGTGTCCCTCCCCTGGGACCCTCACCTTCCCCTAGCCAGTCCCCCCTCTGAGGGTGACTTCACTGCCTGGCACTGGGAGTTGGTGAGGGATCCCCTCCCCCTGGGAGGGAGGTGAGAGCTGCCCCCCCTCCCCCCACGCCTGACAGCAGAGTGCAGGACGCAGGCGGCCCCACTCTGATGGGCAGGACCCTTCCCTTCCCTCCTGCCATCTCCCCCACCCCCCAGGCCCTCCATGGTCTCACCCTCCCCCCCCCCCCCCACTGTCCCCAGTCCCACTGGCAGAATCAGCTTTGAGTAACTACAGTTTTTCTCGCTGTTGGAGAAGACTTATTTGTTGGAGTTTCAATTGTTTAATGGTCTGGGCTTATTTTGGAGAAAAAAAAAATTGAAACAAAAGGATTCTGACCTTTGTTATGTGCCATTTCATGGGGAACCCAGTGGCCTTGCTTCCGTGACTCAAGCTGGGGTCCTTGAACACGTCAGTATGGCTTGCGGGGGCTGGGGGGGGGGGGGGGGGAGTTGGCACCAGAGGGCCCTGGCAAGTGGAAAAGTAGCTTTTATTAACAGCAAATGGGTTGGGGCCGAGCAGGGTGAAGGGCTCCCCAACACCACTAGAAAAGTGCCTTCTTGCCCTAAGAAGGCCGTGGGCTCAGTCACTGTCGCTCTCGGCATCACTGGAATCGGAAGCTGGGGCTTCACTGCCCTCCTGGGCCGAGTGCTCGCTGCCACTGGGGAAGGGGCTGGCGCTGCGGCTGCGGCTCGGGCTGCGGCTCCTCTGGCCACGGCCGTCACTGCCGCTGTCAGAGTCATTGTCACTGCCACCGTGGACAGGCCTGTCTTCCTCATCAGAGTCAGCATCAGAGTCAGAATCCGCGTCACTGCCGAAGATCTCCTCTTTGTCCCGGGCAGCCCGGGCTTCATCCTCGCTGCTCTCCTCCTCGCCGCTGCCACTCTTGTCGCTTGCTTCATCCCTGTCGCCCTCCTCCCGGTCACTCTCACTGCCCGAGCGCTCGTCCTCGCTGCCCTCCTTCTCACTGCTGCTGCCCTTCTCCTGCTCCTCATCTGTAAGGGAGCAGGGAGAGGTGAGACCCAGCACCGCACCCTCCCTAGCTTTCCAAGGCTTGGACCGCTCTACGCGAGCTCCTCCTCTACCTGAGCCCCCAGCTTCTTTCTCCTCAGCCTCCATCTCCTCCTCCTCTTCCTCTTCCGGTTCGTGGTTTTCCAGCTGAGCCTTCCGTGCCTCCTGAAAGCAGGATAGGGTAGGGGGACAGTGTGCTGGTCAGCCCACTGTCCCTCTCCTCACCACACAGCTACCCTTCCTCGGGGGTGGGGGGGGGAGGTGGAAGAGGCAGTGATGCTCTTACCTGGGCTTCTAATTCCTTCTCATTCATATCCCGGTGTTTGACTACAAGCAGAGCATTTGTACCCGACTGGACACCAGCCTTGGCGCGGCGTTTACTGAGTCGGACTCTGCAGTAGGCAAATTGCAGGAAGAGGGTGAGGGGTACACTTAGACACTGCCAGAGAGGTGCGTTCTGATGTGGGGCTCAGCAGTGCTCACTCTGGATGAGGCAGAGGACTGCATATATGGTGTACACATAAGCGATCCACGTTCACTCATATATGTTGACTTATGAAGCCACCACATAAAGACAGGAGCTGTCACATGTGGATGTCTGGCTTTTGAGTAATAGGAATTTATGGCCCCAGTGGACCTTTTTACCCTTAATAGAACAAATGACCATGGACTGAAGATGGGAGGTCGGTACCATATGGGTGTGGGCCCCCAGAACCCACTTTGTTGGAATAGAATTGCAATGTTTATTTATTTGGTCTGGGGGCTTGAACTGTCCCTGAGCTTTTGTATTCAAGGCTAGCACTCTAGCACTTCAACTTCCAGTTTTCTGGTGGTTCACTGGAAATAGGAGTCTCATGGACTTTCCTGCCCAGGCTGGCTTTGATTCTCAGATGTCAGCCTCCTGAGTAGCTAGGATGACAGGTGTAACTCACCAGTGCCTAGCTTTTGATCTCTAAACAAGTTCAAGTCACACTTGCCAGCTTTTACACCAAGGGCCCCAATACAGCAGATAACTTTCAGCCCTCAGAGGAGTGTGGGTCACATTTTTAAAGTTGGGTATCCAGTGTTTTGCCTTAAAACACATCTAATTTTATATGTTGCCTTCTAATTTGGCTGATTGCTATTCACATCAAGTCCTGCATTAGTAGGAGGGAAAGCAGGTATGCACCCACACAAAAGTATTAAAGGTTTCTACGTTACCTGAAGATTTTCATCCTGGCCTCCCATTTAGCCAGGTCCAGCCCATGCTCATGAAATGCACACCAGCTGCTCTCACAGACACAGCAGCTAGACACCAGTAGCTCATACCTGTCATCCTAGCTACTCAAGAGGCTGAGATATGAGGATCACAGTTCAAAACCAGCATGGGCAGGAAAGTGTGAGACTTTTCTCCAGTGAAGCACCAAAAACCCAGAAGTGGAGCTGTGGCTTAAGTGGAAGAGTACCAGCCTTGAGCAGATAAAGCTAAGGGACAGCACCCAGACCCTGAGTTCAAGCCCCAGGATTAACACACACATAACAGACATGGCAACTGCTGAGGAAGAGGTGACACCCAGGGTGGTTCTTCCCTGCCCTGGCCAGACTACCCACCAGCCCTGGGTCCTGAGAAACCTGGGGCAGGCTGAGCAGAGAGCAGAGGAGAATACCTGGTCTCCAGTTCGTTGTAATATACCCCATCGCCCTCCCGGAAGATGAAGAAGTAGTTCTCCTCGTAGCCCTTGCTGGCCTTGTTCTTCACGTTCCAATTGTACTCGCGTGCTATCTTGTAGTCATACCTGTGGATGAGGCGCAGTTGGCTCAGGGGTCCCCAAGGAGGAAAACAGGACACGTCTCAGTCCTTACCACCCATTCCCACCCCACGCACACATCATCTGGAGCATAGTCCATCTCCTCCTCCTGGTCCCGCTTTCGCTTCTTCAGTGTCTCCTCCACAGGCAGAAAATAGGCCACAAACTGGTTCCCTTCCTCGTCCATCATGCCTCTGGTGGAGAAGGAGCACAGTGGTCAAGGGGGTGTGGGCAGAGGGGGAAAAGGTGCAGGCCTGGGGAGGTGACAGGATCAGTGACCTGATCATGGCCTGAGACATCATCTCCAATGCGGCAGCACCACTCGTGTCCTTGGGGGCCGGATCGGAATCAAAGATGACCTGAGCGCAGGGGTTGATCCACATCTGGTGGGGTGAAGGCACTGGGGTTAGTCTGGAACTGGCAGGCAGGGGAGGCCATCACTCTGCCTCCTGCCCTGGGCCTGACTGACCTTAAAGTCGGGGAAGACAGGCATGACCTCCACTGGTGTCACTCGGGGCTTGCTGTAATGCTGGGAGATCTGCTGGGAGCAAAAGCAGTGAGGAAAAGCTCCCTCCACACCTCGTCTGCCTCCCCATCCTGGTTCCTCAAGTTACCGATTTCTGGGCATCCTCAAAAGTCTTCTCAATGGCTGTGATCTGGCTATCCCTGTCTTTATATATTTCTTCCTCTGTGAACTGTTGCTTCACGGAAACCCCAATCCTAGGAGTTAAGAGAAGGCACTAGGAAGTCTCTGGACACCCCTTAAACTCACCCCTCCTTCCCTCCTTCCCCTCCCTGTCTGCAGCTTACTTGACCTCAGGCTTCTCATTGGAGATGCCATAGCGATTGAACTCAGTGGAGATGTATTCTGTCTTACGCATCCATGGCACCACCTTGGCATGCTGCTGGGATCTGATGGGAATGCAGGCACCTCAGGACCCTGGTGCAGGATGCCCCCTTAACTGTAGAGCCCATCCCAGTCACACCCAGTACCCACTGTTTCTCCCTTCACCTCTTGGAGCTGGTAGGAGCCTGGATCTCTTCCTCCAGAAGCTTCTCATCTGCTGGATCCAGGAGCACTAGATCGCAAGGGACAGGAGGACCATGAGGGAGGCCCAGACCTAGCCACTGCTGGCCTAAAGCAGAACCCCCTTCCCTGACCCCACACACCATTGGGGTCGATGCGGTAGGTGTCGGGGTTGATGAGGTCGATGGTGACCCCCAGGTCTGGCTCAGTCAGGAGGTCATGTTTGTGCTGTTTCTCCAAGGAAGTTGCCTTGTACTGGACAAACCTGAGTGGGCAAACATGGTCCTTGGGGTTTCCAGATTTCAGTACCACCTTTCATGCCCCTGCTCCCAGAAGCTAAGCTTCTGTGGCATTAAGTATTCCCAGTGTTGGGAGTCTTAAGGCTGGCTCCCAGTGGGAAGGGACTTGGAGGCTGCTTGCTCCATTCATCATTAGCCCAAGGAGAAAGCCCTCAAAGAGACAAGCAGTCCTTACCTTTAAAGCACTTCTTTAGGAGTTTCCCCATCCTTGACCTTACTCTCACCTGTTCTGGTCGAAGGGGTAGGTGATGAACTTGGGGTCAAAAGGGATGTCAGGAAGGCTATTGCAGTACTTGACTCGGCAGACCACTCCAGACCTAGGAAAACAGTGGCTCCAAACTAGACCCCGGGGCTGGGAAGGTGGCTCAGTGGTAGAGTGCTTGCCTTGCATGCATGAGGCCCTGGGTGCGATTCCTCAGCACCACATAAGCAGAAAAAGCCAGAAGTGGCGCTGTGGCTCAAGTGGTAGAGTGCTAGCCTTGAGCTGAAGAGCTGAGGGACAGCGCCCAGGCCCAGAGTTCAGGCCCCACAACTGGCAAAAAAAAAAAAAAAAAACTGCTAGACCCCACCAACCCTCTCTGCCAGGTGTAGTAGTGCATGCCTGTAATCCCAGCACTGAGGAAGTTAAGGGAGCATCATGAGTTTGAAGCCAGCTTAGGCTTCTCATAGAAGGGAGGGAAAAAGGCTTATGTGCCCACCACTGCTGCCACCCTCATACCCCATCGTACTCCTGGGAAGCACCTTGGAGACTCACCTCTCAGGCAGAGTGCGGTGGGAATTGGGCCTGGTGGGGGAAAAAGACAGTGAGAGCCAGAAGCCAGTGACACACCTGTCATTCTAGCAACTCAGGAGGGTGAGATCTGAGGATCACGATTGGAAGCCAGCCCAGGCAGGAAAGTGAGACTCTCTATCTCCAATTAACTACTCAGAAAAAGCTGGAAGTGGCACTGTGGCTCCAAGTGGTAGAGCGCTAGCTTTGAACACACACAGGCTCAAAGGACAGCGCCCAGGCCCAGAGTTCAAGCCCCAAGACCCGCAAAAAAAAAAAAAAACAGGACCAAGCTTCCAAAAGGCACCAAGTGACAAGCGGTAGTGCCTTTGGTGAGGGTGCTTTAATGGACGGAGCTAAGTGTCCCAACTCTGAGTGCTTTAACGAGTGAAGCTATGCAATCGGCCCCCTTTTAGCGGGGTGGGAAGTCGCCCCAGTGCTTTAATGAAACCCCCACAGTATTTAGAGTCGTTTTCTGGAAAATGCTCCCATTGGCGGGATCGAAGTAAGCAATCCCCTTCGGGGGAGTCTCCCAACTCGACAGCGGGGAGGTATAGGGGCACAGGCGGGCTCCCCCACGAGTCCGGGGGGGGGGCTCCCTGACGTCACGGGCAGACCTGCAGTGACGTCATACCCAGGCTCCACCACCACCACCACCGGCCTTGCAGAAGCCCAGAAGGAAACTGTAAAGTCGAGTGGAGTGGCGCCTACCTGTGGCCGTCCTCCCGCTGGGCCTGCGTCTGGATGGTGGGCGCCATGGCGACGCGGCGACAGCGGCCGGGCTGCGCCGAGGGCGGACGCCGAGGGGCGTGCCGGCTAAGGTGGCCTCCGGGCCTGAGCCGAGGCTCCCGTGGGCGCCGCTCTCCGCGGGGAAGGCTGGGAAGAGTATGCAGAAGAGAAGAGTTTACGTCCCGGTAAACCCGCAGGCGGCGCCTCGGACACACGGACTCACAGCTCTGGCGTCACCAACCGCCGCCGCGACTCCGAGGGCCGAGACGGATCTCCTCAGGCCGCGAATCCTTCGGGAAATAGAGTCCGGATTAAAGCCTCCCGCTAATTGGCTAGCTATTGGATTAGAGGGCGGAGCTACCAAGGAAAACCTCTTGTCATTGGTGATCAGATTTTTCCAGTCTTGGCATCCCATTGGATATTAATGAAGGCGGAGCAGCGTCGCTCCTCTGATTGGCTAAACTGTCTGGAAGGCGGGGGTAACTACGGAACGAGACTCGAATGAACCGCGGGAGACGCACTAGCTCCTGACGTACTTCCGGAAATCTCTACAGCAAACATGGCTGCTCCCCAGCAGCAAGCTTCTGCTGCTTCCTCAGGTGCAGGGGTGGCGGGCCCCGGTTCAGCTGGTGGCCCGGGGCCCCAGCAGCCGCAGCCGCCAACGCAGCTGGTGGGACCGGCCCAGAGCGGGCTCCTGCAGCAACAGCAGCAGGACTTCGATCCTGTGCAGCGGTATAAGATGCTCATCCCGCAGCTGAAGGAGAGTCTACAGGTGATTGATTGATTGGGAGCTGCTAGGAGCCAGCGGTGTTCGGCTTGTCCGAGTCCAAGGGGGCGGTGCCGAGGAGCTATTTAGGGAGAAATCGTGGGCAGGGAAGCGGGTAAGACTTGTTTGTGTTGGTTCTCGAACTTGAACTCAGAGCCTGAGGGCTGTCGCTGATCTTTTTCCCTCAGGGCGAGCACGCTACCACTTGAGTCACACCCCCATTTCTGGCTCTTCTCTGGTTAATTGGCTGGCTTTGAACTGTAATCCTCACATCTCAGCCTCCAGAGGAGCTGACATTACAGAAAGCAAACCACCAGCGTCGGGCAACTTGCTCATTTTTTGTGAGACTGAAGCCCAACCTCAGAAAGGGGGGTTGACGCAGATATGGAGGCTGGGATTGGGACTGATTGACTGCAACTCTGAAGGGTAAAGAGATTTTAAGGGAGAAGCGGGGCGCCGGTGGCTCACACCTGTTATCCCAGCTACTCAGGAGGCTGAGATCTGAGGATTGCGGTTCAAAGCCAGCCTGGGGAAGGAAAGTCCGTGAGACTCTTATCTCCAGTAAACCACTCAGAAAACTGGAAGTGGTGCTGTAGCTCAAGTGGTAGAGTGCTCCCCTTGAGTTGAAGAGCTGAGGGACAGCGCTCAGGCCCAGAGTTCAAGCCCCACGACCGACCAAAAGAGAGAGGGAGGGGGAGAGAGGGAGAGGATATTTTAAGGGAGAAATTGGGCTCTGGTCCAGGCCTCAGATTGTACAGAGATTCTGCTCTGCCTGTGATTGGTGGATGCGGGCCATGTCAGGAGGTTATTGGTGAGAAACCAGGGTGTCCTGGGAAAATACTGTCGGGAATCATCAGAGCAGTGAGAACACTGGCATTATTCTACAACTATCAGGAGGAGAGATGCCAGATGAAGAGAAGGCCTGTTAGTTAGGTGGGTCTCAGGGAAGAACATAGCTCTTTCTAATATTTCTTTCTCTATCCCCATTGTTTGTTTTTGTCTTTTTTTTTAAACAGACCTTGATGAAGGTCGCAGCCCAGAACTTGATTCAGAACACCAACATTGACAATGGACAGTAAGTGCAGACCCCATCCACCATTTAGTATGCCTCTCGCTATGACATAGGGGCTTAAAACCCAGAGGTGGGAACCCAAGGAGGCAGCCAGGGAAGAACCATGAAGAAAGGGAAGGACAGATGGGAGCACAGAGGCTGCCTTAAGCCACAGGATGGACTCAGTGGTCAAGGGGCTTTGCAGGGATGGAGGTGGGGTACATGGAAGCAACTCCAGAATGAGGCCCCAGGGTTCTGAGTGGAATGTTGTAATTGGCCCAGAGAGAGAGAACTCTACAAATGACAACTTTTGGGAGAAGACTATATTAGATTATCCTCACTCACCCCACCCTTAGAAACCCCTTCCCCTCCCCGCCATGCCCACCCCTCCTGTTGACAAGTTCTGCCTAGATGGCCTGGGCATGATTTACTGACAGACACTTGATTGGTGGATACTGGTGTCCCAGAGATTGGACATCCTTTTGATCACCCTTTTCTCCCTGGTTATAGAGAGAGCAGCGACGGACCCATACAGCGCTTTGACAAGTCTCTGGAAGAGTTCTATGCACTATGTGACCAGCTGGAACTCTGCCTGGTAAGGTGCCTTCTGGACACTGGTAACCATGGTGCCACCCGGTTCCTTTCCCTGGGTGTTCAGTCAGCTCTTTCACTGGTCACCTCTGAGCCACACCTGATGCTGGGGACACAGTGGTGCCCAACTGTTGCTTTTACAGCTTTGAGTTCAGTGGAATCACAAATATAAGGTCAACCGAGAGCAGTTCAGTGAAGTGAGTACTATGAAGGAGAGGCACAAGCTGGATGCTGGTGGCTCACACCTGTAACATTAGCTACTCAGGAGGCTGAGATCTGAGGATCATGGTTCAAACCCTGCCTAGGCAGGAAAGTTTGTGAGACACTTCAATGAACCAGCAAAAAGTTGGAAGTAGAACTGTGGCTCAAGTGGTAGAGTATCAGTCTCGCAGAGGAAAGCCAAGGGAAAGGACTCAGTCTCTGAGTTCAAGCCCCAGTACTGGTGCACACATACATCCACAAAGAAAAGGGAGTAAAGGGGAGGTGGAGTCGGGTTGAGACTAGAATGAGAGCAGCTTTTGGGGGATGCAGAACCCTGGGCTGCAGGTTCAGAAAGAGTGGCTCAGAAAAGACTACAGATGGAAACACAGAACAAAGGAGGAGTAAGAGGTTCCAATCAGACAGACTGGTGAGCCTTGGAGAAAGGAGTTGGAGGAAAATCTCAGCACCATCACGCCTGGGAAGTTTGTATCCTGATTTCCTGTGGTATCATCATCTTCATTCTAAGCTGTGGCAGGGGGGAGGGGGGACATGTGGGCACAGAGGGAGCTTGTGCTTTAAACTCCCACGGGGCACGAATGGCAGGAGATTCAACCTGGCTGAGCTGTAGTTGGAAGTTTGAATATAACCCTTAAGTGTCCTGGGGAAGCCCTGGAGGATTTTGAACAAAGGACAGCACAGCATGGACCCTTTACTTTTTAAGCCTTTACCTCTCACTGGCAAATGGGAGCGTGTGTACAAGAAGGGCTGAGAAAGGAGGTGGGATCCCAAAGAGACAGTCAGGGCAGAGCCTCAGGTAAGGGGAAGGAAGAGAGATGGGAGTGCAGGGGCTTCTTTAAGCCTGTACTGAACTGAAGGGCTGGTTGGGGCGAGAGGGAATTTGCAGAATCAAGCCCTAGGACTCTGGAGGTAGAGGCCTGTGAAGCTGGAGTGTAGCAGCCCCTCTTGCCCCCCCTTACCTCTGAGAGATTGAGGAGAGAGACAGAGAGACCTGGACAGGAACCTGGGAATTTTATTTTTTTTTTTTGGGGGGGGGGGAGGTCTGGTCGTGGGGCCTGAACTCTGGGCCTGGGCACTGTCCCTCAGCTCTTCAGCTCAAGGCTAGCGCTCTACCACTTGAGCCACAGCGCCACTTGCAGCTTTTTTCTTTTTGCTTATGTAGTGCTGAGGAATTGAACCCAGGGCCTCACGCATGCAAGGCAAGCGCTCTACCACTGAGCCACCTTCCCAGCCCCAACCTGGGAGTTTTAATAAGTACCTAGATGCCAGGTGCCAGGGGCTCACACCTGTAATCCTAATCCTAGCTACTCTGGAGGTTGAGATATGAAGATAAGGATTCAAAGCCAACCTGGACAAGAAAGTCAGTGATGTTCTTCTCTCCAATTAACCACCAGAAAGCCAGAGGTAGAGCTGTGGCTTAACTTGGTAGAGAGCTAGCCTTGGGCAAAGTGAGCTCAGGGATAATGCCCAAGCCCTGAGTTCAAGCCTTATAAACACCAAAAATTATAAAGAAAAAAAAAAAAAGTACCTGTAGAAGTAGCAGTCAGAGAAAGAAGAGAACCTTGGACAAGTGTCATCTGGGCAGTCACTGCCCAGTTTTAGGTTTGGACAGGAACCAGATCCCTAATGTTCTTCTCCCATTGCTGAAAACCATGTAGGAGACCCATGCTGTGCTGCAGAGATGATTATTAAACCTATTTTCCAAAAGAGGAAACAGGTGCCCTGGGTCACCCAGCCACTGATTAGCATGGCGGTTATAACTCCCCATAACAGAAGCCAGGGAAGCCCAGGCTTGTCCCTGGGGATGGGGGGTGGACCACGGCACGTACCTGGAGTGAGGCTGATGCTGGGCCCTTGCTTGCCTGCCCACAGCGCCTGGCACATGAGTGCCTTTCACAGAGCTGTGACAGTGCCAAGCACTCTCCGACGCTGGTGCCCACAGCCACCAAGCCTGATGCTGTGCAGCCCGACAGCCTGCCTTACCCGCAGTACCTGGCAGTCATCAAAGCTCAGATCGCCTGTGCCAAGGACATTCACACTGCTCTGCTGGACTGTGCCAACAAGGTCACGGGCAAAACGCCTGCACCCCCTCCTGGACCTGGGGGCCCCATCTGAGGTCTAGGGTGAGCAGTAAGGCTGCTTGGGGTGGGTGGGTGGGTGGGTCTGTGGGAGGTTAAGAGAATGAAGAGGTAAACCTAAGCCAAAGCTGCAGTGTCTTGATTTTTTTTCTTCCCACCTAGCACTGACCAGCAGGTGGCAGCAGAGGCCACATGCTGACTAAGGGCGGAACCTCGCCTCTGCCTGGGCCTCTAGCTTCCCTCCCAGGCCTAGCCTAGACTTTGAAAGGCAACTTGATGACCTGTTGTGTTCTTGGGGCACATCTTACCCCCCACCCCGCCCGGATCTGGCTGGGGCATGATGTTCTGGCTTAGCCCTTCTCAATCCTTGTGTCTTTCTGTCTGAGCATGGCTGCTGTTTTCTCTAGATGTTCCTCCATCTTTCAACATCATTCTGTCTTTCTGACTCTGCCGCTACCCTGTATTTGTGTCTGCCCTCACAATCTCATGTCTCCCTGCCTCTCTCTGCCAGTCCCCATTTTCCATCTACTTCCCCCTGGGTCTAGGAGAGGAGCTTCCCCTTTAGGGGCCACAACCAA